GTGGCTGGTAATGTGCTTGCCCAGCATGCATGTAAACCTCAGGTGCAGTCTCCAGCACTGCATAAGACACACCTTCAATCCCAGCACTCAGACTAGTAGATGCATGAGGTTCAAGGTCATCCTCATCTACAAAGAAAGTTCAAGGCCAGCCTAGGCTACATCAGACAGACAGACAGATGGGAAGAGAGAGAGGGAAACAAAGAAGGAAGGAAGGAAGGAAGGAAGGAAGGAAGGAAGGAAGGAAGGAAGGAAGGAAGAAAGAAAGAAAGAAAGAAAGAAAGAAAGAAAGAAAGAAAGAAAGAAAGAAAGAAAGAAAGAAAGAAAGACTTTAAGCCATTCTGTTTCCTAAGTGTCCAGGGGAAGTGTTGACTTTTTCACACAAATAGGTTGGAGAAAAGATGGCTCAGCAGTTCAAAGTACTTGTTCTTGCAGAGGACACTGGTTTGACTCCCAAGCACCCATAAAGCAGTTCACAACTGTCCATAATGCCAGTTCCAGGGGAGCCAACTCCCTCTCATGACCTCCTTGGGCATCACACACACACACACACACACACACACACACGCACGCACGCACGCACGCACACACGCGCGCGCATGCATGCCAGCAAAATAAATAATAAAATATCATACACATAAAATAAATCTTAAAAAAAGAGGAAAAAAAGCACAGAGAAGAACATGCATCTGCTTTGTTTTTCTGCTTTCTGCAAGGTGTTTTTTGTTTTGTCTTGTTTCACCTATTTCTAATTTTCAACGGGTAAAGAAGAAAATCACACATATACAACAGCCCTTTCCCTGGAGTGCCGGATGGAGAAAGCTGGTCACGGAATGACAGGTAACACTTCCAATGTCTGCACACTCTGAGTTGAACACCTGAGCCAGGTACCACCACCCACAGCAGAGAGGACCAGTGTGTTGGGACTGTCCACCAAGCATGAGGATACCTCATGTGTAATCAAAAAGACAAGCACACTTGCTAAAGAACAAAACTGACACTCCATAGGCCTGTGCTCAGGACTGCACATGACCCACAACCCAACATGACTATGGTATTATCCCCATTTTACAGATGGGGAAGCAGGTACAGGAAGTCAGGAACTGCTCTGACTTCAGCGTGGTGTGGAAGAGGCAGTGCTGAGTTCAAGCTCCAGAGTTCAAAACCCGTGTTCTTTCGTGCCCTTCAGTCCTAGTTTCTTCAACTGAAGGGAAATTTTCCAGTTGTGCTTTGCAGGTCCACTCGGAGGACAGTGATGTGAGCTCCCAGCCGGCAGGGGCCAGAGAAGGCAAACCAGTCAGAAATATTAAAGCCTCCCACTCCCAGTGAGATGGCAGGATGTTGACAAGTGACATGTTTTAAAAGGCCACAGAATGGATCTTTGTTCTTCGGGGAAAACAAAGATGAAGAAGTGGCAGCAACAGAAAGAGCTGAGAAGCTGGGGATGGGAGAGCCCAGCGATAGCTCCATTCCCTTCTAGAACAGGACTCATCTGAAGGGAAAGGCAAGCCCTAGCTACACTTCTCTTGGCTGCTGTTCCATCTTACACAGGAAGATCTCTGGATCTTGCTGTGTCAACTTCGCAAAAATTAAAACCTCAGACAGCACCACTACCTCCCTGCCTCTGTCTGTCCCCACCTCACACATAGGTCCATTGCAGAACACTGTGCAGACTCAACCCCCAAACCCAACAGCAGCCCCAGGCCTAAGGAATCCCAGCAACACCTACTCATTATTATTTACTTTCTTGTCTTCAGTTTGACCCATTGCTACTGAGACTTGCATCACATGACATATTACAAAGTATCCCTAAACATATATGTGATTTGAGGATTACATTCTGACTCCGCCAGGGCCAGACAACTGAAACCTGCACTATTTAAAGATGGAGCTATAAGAAACATACTGAAATATTCTGAACAAGATGACATTTTGTAGGTCAAAAATGATCAAATATTTGCCATTTCATTTAGTTCCATTTAATACCTAGCCAAGTCTTACCCCCAATACCACTGGACAGAGCCTGAAAGAAATTTAATATCATGACATTTAGGGTCTGAAATGGTGTCAAGCACCTGTGGTGACACAAATCTCTCATTGGGGAAGTGCAAACAAGGAAGAAAAGGAAGGAAGTTGAGTGGTTATAAAGGAGACCACACTAGGAATCAACCCTGGCTCCACTCTCCATTCTGCTACCCAGAACTGCATACCAATCTTGGTGATGCTAAAGCTTTTATGTCTAAGGTAAAGAAACCAGCTCTCTTTCCCGCTACAGCTTAAGGCAGTGGTGCTCAGCCTTCCTAATGCTGCAGCCCTTTAATATCTCATGTTGTGGTGACACCCAACCATAAAATTATTTTCAGTGTTACTTCATAGCTACAATTTTGCTACTGTTATGAATCACAATATCTGTGTTTTCTGATAGTCCTAGGTGACCCCTGTGAAAGGGTCATTGGTCCCCACCCCCACCCTCACCCCCACCAAAGGCATTTTGACCCACAGGTTGATGAGAGTAATGATCTGACCACCATCATTCTCAGACTGCACAGTGCTGTCAAATGGACTCTCAACCCAATATGCAAGCAAAGAGACAAGTGTGTTGGTTCCCATTATAAATGCCCCGCCCTTCAGCTTCTCAGTGCAAAAGCCAACAGGGTCTTAGGACTCCATCAGCCAGACCCTCCTACTAGTTCATTCTCCTAACAGGGAGAGAAGAGCTGGCATTTAATCCAGCATCCAGGACATTCCTACTTGGAAGCCATTCCTGGAGTGCCTGTCTCTCTAGCTTGGGAGCCTTCCCAAACTCCCTGCCTCCTGTCGGTCCTGGTCTCCAATTCTCATTAGTCAAAACATCCCAGCCAGAATGGTCTGTTTCTTACTCCTGCAGATCTCTGGCAGATACACCACTTAACCATTGTGTAGTCATTTTTTGTTGTTAGAACAAAATACTTGAGAAAAGAGATCTATTATATACACATATGAAATTGTCAAAGAACAAGTTAAATTTAAAAATAAAAATTCCAAGTCCTTTTACTTGTGGTGCAGGAAAGGCTAACAGTTTCTGATGTTTGCTTTACATGCAATTGACCAAGCTGAGGACACAGGTGTCCAGTCTTGCTGGAATTTCTCTGTGATGTCACATGCCCTGTGGTCCAAGGAAAGGCCAGAGGATATTCTTCCTCAGCCCTCAACCTGCCTGGTAAGTGCCTAATCCTCAGCCAGTGAGCGAGGCCTCCCCGGTCCCCATCTGTTGTCTCTTCCTTTCTCCTGTGAAACATTAATAGCCATGAGCCCAGTGTAGGTTGAAATGACACCCTTCTTCTCTTCTTTGCTAGGCTTTCCTCTACCATACTTACTGTCTAACAAGCTGTGTTCTCTATTTTATTTAGTTACCTGTCTTCTGTCACTACAGTGCCAGTTCTGAGTCCACAGGGATAACTGATTGTGTTGATTATTGATTATTGCTATACCTGCACCTCCTGATGGCTGAGACAGTCCCTTCTTATCTCTAATGCTGGCCCCAGGGCCCAAGCATGCCTTGGGGACAATTTGTTAGCCTTTCCTGGGTCACAGGTATCACTGATAAGTTTAAGGGCTTTCTTTCAACATGAAAGGGACACATGGTATAATATAGCAAATATATAAATATCTTAAATAAATATCAGGAAACATTAAAATCCTGTTATTATCCTGAAAACCACCTCTGTTCACATCTTGGTAGTTTATTATTATTATTTTGGGAAGTTTTTGCTGGAATCATTGCTTAACAATTCCATGTAGGACAATTACATCCATATACTTTTATAGCTTGTTACTGCTATAACATATGCATGTTTACTACAAACATAATTTCTATTACATTTTATTTATATGTGTACCTGTGTCTGTGTTTCTATAGGTTCACACATGCCACAGATGTATGGCACTCAGAGCACAACTTACAGGAACTGGTTGTGGGTCATCAGGTATGGTGGTAGGTGCCTTTACCTGCCAAGCCACCTCATGAGCCTGATATGTACAATTTTAAAATTTCTACATATGCATGCATTTCCTGCTTAAAGGAAACTTTATGAATATCATCTTAGCTTCTTGGCTATGTTTGTGGTGCTAGGGTTTGAACAGAGGGTCTTATATATGCTAGATACATGCTCCAATACCAGATTATAGTCCCAGGTCTCTTTACATCTTTGTTGACTCCATGTGTGTATGTGTGTGTGAGAGAGAGAGAAAGAGAGAGAGAGGATAAGAGGATAAACTGCCTGCTATGGCTATGAACTCACTATGTAGCCAAATAGCCAACAAACTCATGATACTCCTGAGTAGGCCTGATTACAGAGCTGAGACACCAGGCCTGGACTGAACACCATTCCATCTTACAGATGCACTACACCTATCACTGAATATTTAGGTTTCTGGGTTTCCCCAATTGTAAATCATTGTGGAAATAAAGGTACTTCAAGTAGAACAGATTCCTAGAAGCAGAAGATAGGAAATGAAGCATATCTACAGGTGGTGGCTACACATCTACAGTGGAACCAACGCCCACTGCCCTCCTGGCATGTCCTAGCAGACACAGCAGCCTCCATTTCTCGGCACCTTTTCCTTGTGGGTAAAATGGTTTAAAAAAACTACCTATTAGCTAAGCATGGTGGCACGTCTGTAGACACACTGCTGGGGAGCTAAAACATCAGGAAGTTGAATCCAAGACAGTACAAGGGAGAAGGATGAGATGGTTCAGCAGGAAAAGCACTAGGCACTTAAGCCTATCCATCTGAGTTTGACGCCAGATGCCAAGATGGAAGGAGAAAATCAACTCCCAGAAGTTGTATGTATCATGGCATGTGAGCACTTGCATTCACATACACTGTAATAAATAAAAATTTTTGAAGGAACATCATGGGCTACATCATTTCACTAAATGATGATTCAAAAGGACAACTAAAAAAATTTTTAAGAAAGAGGAGAAGGACAAGAAGAGGATGACAAAGAAGTGATGTACTCACCTGCTGTCAGAATCTGATGCGATCTCCTTTCTCCCTCCGAAGCGAATCTGGCACTGCACAGAGAAAGAGACTGCTGAGCTGAGCTGCTGGGCTGGAACAGCAAACATCACAGAATAGCCCACAAGGCCTTCAGATACAGCAGGGACAGAAACAGGAGGTACCCTGGGTAAGTTAGGGTGGCCCAGGCCCTGGTGCTTTACAGAAGTAAGAAACTAATATTCCAGGTCCATATTTCTCTTTAAGGAAGCCCTGGTCTTCCTCTTGATTCCAGGAAGTGGTCAAACGAGGCAGACAGGAATGCAGGCACCACAAGCAGCTGGATATCATAGCTCTCTGTGACAGCACTGAGAACCTCCATGCCTCCCTGTCAATGACTCTTCTTCACAGAGCCCCAAAGTGTATATAGACTGTGTCAAATGACAGCCAATTGGGTGAGCCTTCAGACCAGCTGACTCACTGTGCAGAGCAGTTCTGCCAGGCTGGATGGATGGGAAAACCAACTTTTTAAAACACAGACCTATAGACTGAGCTGTTGGTGGCACACACCTTTAATCCCAGCACTCAGGGAGGCAGAGGCAGCAGATCTCTGTGAGTTCAAGGTTGGCCTGATGTACAGAATAAGTTTCAGGACAGCCAAGGATACACAAAGAAACCCTATCTCAAAAAAAAAAAAAAAAACAAAATAAAAATAAAAAACAGAGGGAGGTAGAGGCAGGTGGATCTCTGTGAGCTCAAGGCTAGCCTGGTCTACAAAGTGAGTCTAGGACAGCCAAGGCTACACACAGAGATACCCTGTCTCAAAAAAAAAAAAACAAGAAGGAAGGAAGGAAGGAAGGAAGGAAGGAAGGAAGGAAGGAAGGAAGGAAGGAAGGAAGGAAACAGACCTATAAAGCCTATCCTATCCATTCTTAGTGGTAAAGCCTGGTCCATGATGGCACCCAACCTTCACCATTATCCACCTACCTCTTTTGTCGTTGTCTGTTTGATTTGCTTTGTTTTGTGACAGACTCACTCTGTAGTCCTGACTCTGTAGCACAGCAATCCTCCTGCCTAAGCCTTCCAGGTACTGGGATTATATACATGTACCCCACTCCCAGCTCACTATTCAGTGTAAAGACAAAGAATCTCTGCTCCAGATAGCAAACTTGCATGCTACATAGATTTAGGATTTAAAATTACATATAATCGAAAACGATAGTGTCATAGTATCCTGACACAAAGAACACACCAATTGGTATGTTTTAATAGTTGGTAAATGATAGATTTCTATCAATAAAGTTGGCTGTTATTTTCTAAGATAAATGTTAACTATTCAACTCCTCAAAATAACTCAGAAGCTCTGAGTAGAAGCCCCAATTTGTTTTTCTTTAAGTGCTACATGCAAAGCCACTGAACTCACTTCCTTGTCTTGCTGCCTTTCATTTTCTGGATTAAGCATAGAGCACCCTCTTTACCTATCTAAACAAGTGTAGTTCATCCAGCATACATGTACAGATGAAAAGCCATACTCCAGGGAAAAAGAGGGCTGTCTTAGGTTTAGAAATACCATGACCAAAAGCAACTTTGGGAAGAAAGGACTTATTTCATCTTACACTTCCACATCGCTGTCCATCATCAAGAGAAGTCAATGCAGGAGCTGATGCAGAGGCCATGGAATAATGCTGCTTACTGGCTTACTGGCTTGCTCAGCCTGCATTCTTCTTTTTATGTATAATTTTATTTTATTTTTTTTATTAATTACACTTTATTCACTTTGTATCCCCCATAAGCTACTCCCTCCTCCCCTCCCGATCCCACTCTCCCTCCCCATTCGTCACACATGCCCCTCCCCAAGTCCTCTGATAGGGGAGGTCCTCCTCTCCTTCCTTCTGATCTTAGTCTATCAGATCACATCAGGAGTGGCTGCATTGTCATCTTCTGTGGCCTGGTAAGGCTGCTCCCCCCTTAGGGGGAGGTGATCAAAGAGCAGACCAATCAGATTATGTCAGAAGCAGTCCCTCTTCCCATTAATATGTAACCCACTTGGACACTAAACTGCCATGGGCTACATCTGTGCAGGGGGTCTAGGTTATCTCCATGCCTGGTACTTGGTTGGAGTATGAGTCTCTGGGAAAACCCCTGTGTTCAAACTTTCTGGTTCTGTTGCTCTTCTTGTGAGGTTCCTGTTCTCTCCAGCTCTTACTATTTCCCACTTCTTACATAAGATTCCATGTACTCTGCCCAACAGTTGGCCATAAGTCTCAGCGTCTGCTTTGATAGTCTGCAGGGCAGAGCCTTTCAGAGGCCCTCTGTGGCAGGTTCATAGGTTGTTTCCTGTTTTCTTCTTCTTCTGATGTCCATCCTCTTTGCCTTTCAGGATGGGGATTGAGCGTTTTAGTCATGGTCCTCTCTTTTGATTAGTTTCTTTAGATGTACAGATTTTACTAGGTTTATCCTATGTTATATGTCTATATGAGTGAGGTGTGTCTTTCTGCTTCTGGGACAGCTCAATCAGGATGATCCTTTCCAGGTTCCACCATTTACCTGCAAATTTCATGATTTCCTTATTTTTCATTGCTGAGTAATACTCCATTGTATAGATGTACCACAGTTTCTGCATCCATTCTTCAGTTGAGGGGCATCTGGGCTGTTTCCAGCTTCTGGCTATTACAAATAAAGCTGCTACAAACATGGTTGAGCAAATGTCCTTATTGTGTACTTGAGCCTCTTTTGGATATATGCCTAGGAGTGGTATGGCTGGATCTTGAGGAAGCACTATTCCTAGTTGTCTGAGAAAGTGCCAGATTGCTTTCCAGAGTGGTTGTACAAGTCTACATTCCCACCAGCAGTGGAGAAGGGTTCCCCTTTCTCCACAACCTCTCCAACATGTGTTGTCACTTGAGTTTTTCATCTTGGCCATTCTGATGGGTGTAAGGTGAAATCTTAGGGTCATTTTGATTTGCATTTCCCTAATGGCTAATGAGGTTGAGCATTTCTTTAAGTGCTTCTCTGCCATTCAATATTCCTTGACAGAGAGTTCTCTGTTTAGCTCTGTTCCCCATTTTTTAATTGGATTACTTGGTTTGCTGCTTTTCAGCTTCTTTAGTATATATATACTGGATATTATAATATACTGGATATTAGTCCTCTGTCAGATAAAGGGTTGGTGAAGAGTCTTTCCTAATCTGTACGCAGTCGTTTTGTTTTGATGACGGTGTCCTTTGCTTTACAGAAGCTTTTCAGTTTCATGAGGTCCCATTTATTGATTGTTGCTCTTAGAGCCTGTGCTGTTGGTGTTCTGTTCAGGAAGTTGTCTCCTGTACCAATGAGTTCTAGGGTATTCCCCACTTTTTCTTCTAACCAATTTAATGTTGAGGTCTTTGATCCACTTGGACTTCAGTTTTGTGCAGGGTGATAAGTATGGATCTATTTGCATTTTTCTACATGTAGACATCCAGTTGGACCAGCACCATTTGTTGAAGATGCTATCTTTTTTCCATTATATGGTTTTGGCATCTTTGTCAAAGATCAGGTGTCCATAAGTGTGTGGGTTTATTTCTGGGTCTTCTGTTCAGTTCCAATGATCCACCATTCTGTTTCTATGCCAGTACCATGCAGTTTTTATAACTGTTGCTCTATAGTACAGCTTAAGATCAGGGATGGATATACCTCCAGAAGATCTTATTGTAGAGGATTGTTTTAGCAATTCTGGGTTTCTTGTTATTCCATATGAAGCTGAGAATTTTTCTTTCCAGGTCTGTAAAGAATTGTGTTGGCAATTTGATGGGAATTGCATCGAATCTGTAGATTGCTTTTGGTAAGATGGCCATTTTTACTATGTTAATCCTGCTAAGCCATGAGCATGGGAGATCTTTCCATCTTCTCATATCTTCTTCTAATTCTTTCTTCAGACTTGAAATTTTTTTCATACAAGTCTTTGACTTGCTTGGTTAGGGTTACACCAAGGTACTTTATGTCATTTGTGGCTATTGTGAAGGGTGTTGTTTCCCTAATTTCTTTCTCAGCCCTTTTGTCTTTTGTATACAGGAGGGCTACTGATTTTTTTGAGTTAATTTTGTATCCGGCCACTTTGCTGAAGGTGTTTATCAGCTGTAGGAGTTCCTTGGTAGAGTTTTTGGGGTCACTCACGTATACTATCATATCTTCTGCAAATAGTGATAATTTGACTTCTTCCTTTCCAATTTGTATCCCCTTGATCTCCTTCAACTGTCTTATTGCTCTAGCAAGGACTTCCAGAACTATGTTGAAGAGATATGGAATGAGCAGCCTTGTCTTGTCCCTGATTTCAGTGGGATTGCTTTAAGGTTCTCTCCGTTCAGTTTGATGTTATCAGCCTGCATTCTTTTTTTTTAATTTTTTATTAATTACACTTTATTCATTTTGTACCCCCCAAAGAACCCAGAGCCACCCCTACTCTTCCTGTCTTTTCTGCACTGTCATTCCGTAAGGAAAACTCTTTGCTTAGCCATTCTCAAATACAGATGGACATGCTGAAACACACCTGCAATCTCAGCAGTTGGGAGGCTGAGGCAAAAAGACAGGGTCTCTTTATGTAGTCCTGGCTGTCCTGGAACTTGCTGGCTATGTAGACCAGGCTGTTCTTGAACTCACAGAGATCGTTCAAAGCAATCATAGGCTATTTGTTAGTTCAAGGCCAGTCTAGATGACCTGCTAATACCTAGTCTCAAAACAAATACACAAAACCATCCCCAGACACAAAAGAAGCCTGTGTGCCCAGAAAGAAAGAAACGATTTCTACATTAACTTTTGGATATTCACACCAAAGCCTGCTATGTGTGTTCTTACCTGCTTTACTGCATCCAGCAGTCGCTCCAGCAGGAATTGCCTTTTGTCATCGTTCTGTGATCCTAAAATGAAATGGGGTTTAATTACTCCTATTTGACAATTAGACTCTGATAAAAACTTTATGACAAGAGATGCTAAGCATGCGACTTTGATAAAAGCACTCAGGAGGCACTCACTCTGTGAGTTCAAGGCCAGCCTGGTCTACACAGCAAGTTTTAGGATAGCCAGGAATACATAAAGAGACCCTGCTTCTTTTTTTTTTTTTTTTTTTTTTTTTTGGGGGGGGGGGGGGGGAGGGTTCAAGACAGGGTCTCTCTGTTTAGTGTTGGCTGTCCTGGAACTCGCTCTGTAGAACAGGATGGCCTCAAACTCAGAGATGGTCTCTGCCTCCCAAGTGCTGGCATTAAAGGTGTATGCCACCACCACCCAGTTAAAAGACCCTGTCTTTAAAAAAAAGAGTTTTTTACATCTGACACAATAGCATGTAGCAGTCCACAAACATGATCATTAACAAAATAAGTAGCCAGACTAGACACCAAAAATCTACTGCAGTGAGATGCTGTACTACAGGAAAACAGCTAAACTCAGTTTCCCCAGATTTAATGAATGTGTCCTGAATGGTCCCAGTTTCTCTGCTATGATACTACTGACACTGCAGGAAATGTCCCTGGCCTCTACTCACTGGATGCCATCAGTCACACACATGCAAACACACACACACACACACACACACACACACACACACACACACACACCTTAGTTAGCTTTACAAATTGTCAAATGTGTCCTGGAGGGTAGGGATGCCCCTCTTGACAGCCAAGAGTATAGAATAACATGTAAGTTCCCTACATGTTATTGAACAGCGTTTTTGAATGTTCTTACTCCCTTTTCCATGCCATCAGTTGGATGGGATGGAAAACATACTTGATCCTTCCTCAGTGGCCAAGGCTGACCCCATAGAGTTGGTCAGTGATGTCTGGGGATGTGGCCCAGTTGTTAGAATGCTTATTGAGCATGCATGGGGCCCTGGGTTCAGCACCTCATGAACCAGAAATGATGGCTACACCTTGTTCTTGGAAGGTAGAAACAGGATTATCAGGAGTTCATGGTCATCTTCAGCTACAAAGGGAGTTTGAGGTCAGCCTGAATTACCTGAGACCCTGTCTCAAAAATAAACAAACCCCAATAGCTTGGCAATTACGAAGCAAGTAGGAGTGTGCCTGGACACTTCTGGTAAGCTGTGCCTTGTGAAATGACACAAAGGACATCACTCCTTCCTCCATCCTCATGCCTGAGTCATAGCATTTGGTTAGAGCCAGAGCTTTGCCCGGTTTCATGTGACCGGAGGAAAAGCAAAGAGAATCACAAAGGCACCCTCCCGGTAGCAGTGAGTTGCTAAGCCGATACTACAGGTAATTCTCACCAGTCAAAAACCACATTTGTTCAAACAACCATAAGTACTTGAACTGTTTCTTGCAGTCAAATGAATTTCCAAAAGATTCCCACAAAAACAAGACACACAGAGAATTTCTATTAAAAAGGTCTGGGGCAAGGGGCATTCAGCACAAGGCATACTACTAACAGATGGCATATGCCCATATGAGGCAAGGATAGTACCTATCAACAGAGTTAAGGCTGTGAATAACAGTGCCCCAGCAGCAGAGCAGTCGCTTTAAACAGCAGGGATGGAATTGCTCACCAGAGGCTTCTGCCCTGGACCACACCAGGAAGGAGTGTTATAGATATGGGAGTGAAATGGTATAAACAGTCATCTTCTAATGGAGCTATATGTATTAGGAAGAGATGCAGAGTGTGAGCACACAAAGACTAAACAGTGATGGAGACAGGAAGAAAACAATGAGGAAATGCAGAAGATGCCACTGCAGCCAGCACAGTGTGGGTGCTCTCTTCACAGCTTTCCCTGACGTGTGAGCTGAGCCCTTTATAAAGAAAAGAAGCAGTGATGGAGAGACAAGGAAGGGCCCATTCCAGGCAGAACAAGCAGCTAGGGGAGAGGCTGAGGCAAGACAAGCTCAGACTCTGTCTTCCAGACTAAGAAGTTCAGGTGGGCAGAAGGACTATCAGACAGACCAGCAGCTGGTCATGGAGGGTCCTTCCAATCAGGCTACAGGATAAGATTCTGCTTTAACCTAAGCACTAACTGGCACAAGTGTGATTTTGAGGATGGCATTGACCCTATGAAGCCTGTGTTAGAATCATCACATCAAGATGCCTGTCTTCATCCAGGCCTGGTGACAAAATGAAGACACCCAAGAAAACAATTACTTTTTCTAGAAGAGCTTTTGGTAAGGTCAAGCTTGCAGCGCATTCTCACCAGGCCAGAGACCATCTGGAGGCACTGCCCATAACGTGCAGATGCCCCAGACATCCTTCACACCAGTGCCTCTCAATCACCTGCTCCTCGATTAGCAGAAGAGTTAGTCTCTGCCCCTCCCTCCTAACGCCAAAACAGAAAGTACGGCTTTCTTCCTTCCTTCTTCCAAGTACTAGACTCTGCCCTAGAAATGCTTCTACTATTTTTTATCATAACAGAAATTTATGTGACTAAAATACAATAAAACCAAATCAGGAAAAAAAAGAAGAAAAATATCTCTATCATCTCACTAGACAGCACTCTATTAGTCAGCTATATGCCCAGCCACTACTACTAACTGTGTGCACTCAGGAGCGTGTGTGTTTGTACATGTGCAGGTCAATGTGTGTGCATTTGCATTCATACAGCAAAGGTCAACCTTAGGTGCCATTCCTCAGGAGCCCTCTACTTGGGTTTGCTTCTCTGTTTATATGTGGTTTGGAGCAGGCTCACTCAGTAGACTATGGGTCTTAGCGTTAGGTTAGGTTGGCCATCCAGTGAGCACAGGGTCTCTGCCTCCCCTGAGCTTAGATCATGACTACACTCCACCACACCTGGCTCTCTCACGTGGGAGCCAGGTATCTGAACTCAGATCCTTGTGTGAAAACATGCCCTAAGGCTGGGGCAGGGCTCAGCCTCACTTTCTGACTGTGGGCCACAGGCATGAATCCCACTGAGATTATCTTGACCTCAGCAGGGCACCTGTGGTCATCTTACCCCTGAAAAGATATGGAAAGAGAGTCTCTAAGATGCAGGACACACAGGTGGCTCCAAGGCCACATATGAACAGCAGAAAGTACAGAGAGAGGCCCCTGACTGTGAAGGAACATTCAGCAGGAAGTCACAAGACAGAAGTCCTCATCCTAGCCAGGCCACTTGCTGGCCATGTGACAGGGCAGCCACTTCCCTGCTCTGGACACTGGGTCCTGCAGGAGATTGTGTGCCACTAGCCCTGCAGTATGTAGACAGTTTCAGCACAGACTGGCAGGCAGAAACACAAGATGCTTTCTCACCTTCTCCATTGACAAGCCAAAGAATGCAGTGCCCGAGCACTCGTGAGCACACGCACAGTGCACGCACACACACCGATGCACACACTCAAACATGCATATTTACACATGCACATGTGCACATACACACACACCCTGGGAGGTCTTCCTGGATGCCACACACTAGTGTTTCCTCTATACAGACCGACTACTCTAGCTAAGTACATGATGCAGATCTGGCCCACTGGATTCGCAGGAATGAGTTCCAGGATGGCTCCATGGTCAGCCAACCCTGAACTTTGCCTGAGTACTGTTGAGTGTCACTTTGACAGGATGGAGGCCAAGTGCTGCTGGTAGCCCTCTTGCCTCTGTGAAGGAGAGCTGAACAGAAGCACAGTCCTACTGACTCCTAAGAGCCTAGATTCGGCTGAGCCTGAAGCCAGGTAAAGTCCCTAAATCTTTTGATTACACAAATCTACACATGCCCATGATGCAGACCTCAGCTTAAACAGCTTCTGCCACATTCCACCAACAGAGACCTAGCCAGTGTACTGCCAGAACTCCAGCAAGCTTGTTTCCCTAAGTTGACCCCCCTTCAACAGACACCAAAACTATACAGCCCTTTGCTAAGTAAGAAGGCACAGAGCAAGCTGCCATCCAAAGAGTGTGTGTTGAATGTCCCACTGGCACTGCCACTGGGGCCCTCACCTCAACCACAGCATTTCACACTAGTACAACTGCATGGGCACAAAAGCAATCAGTGCCACCCCTGGGAAATGACATGACAGACATAAGGCAAAGAAAGGAAGGTTACTCTGGTAGTTTGAATAGGAATGGCCCCACAGATTTATGTGTTTGACTATTTGGCCATAAGGAGTGGTGCTATTAGGAGGCGAGGCCCTGTTGGAGTAGGTGTGGCCTCGTTGGAGGAAGTGTGTCACTGTAGAGTGGGGTTTGAGGCCTCACATGCTCAAGCTACACCCAGTGTGACTCACAGTCTCCTGTTGCCTGCGGGTCAGGATACAGAACTCTCAGCAACTCCAGCACCATGTCTGAATGCACGCTGCCACGCTTCCACCATGATGATAATGGACTAGTCATCTGAAAGGGGAAGGCAGCCCCAATTAAACGTTTTCCTTTCTAAGAGTTGCCATGGTCAGGGTGCGTCCTCACAGCAATAAAACTTTAACTAAGACAGCTACCCTATCCTGCACACCACTATATTTACAACACAAGAGTAGAAGAAAAGGAAAGAAGGGAGGGGGAAGAAGGAAGAGCTAGCTAAGTCTCAAGTGTAGTCCATAGTTCAAAATGTGTGCTTCATTAAAAATCAATTACTGGGAGATTGTGCAGCCCATAAGAGTGACCAGTGTTTAGTCCATGGGGAAAGGTCTTACCTGGAAATTTTAAAGATGAAAGCAAAACATAAATCTATGGTAATGATAAAATTACCTCAGCTGGCATCAAGAGTTCCTCAATCTTTCTTTTTCCTTTTTTTTTTTTTAAAGTAGTGTGTTTCATTTATCTCATGACCTTGAACTTCTGATCCTCCTGCCTCCTACTCTGAGTGCTGGAGTTATAGGTATGCACCCACTCCTGGCTTATGCAATGCTAGGAATGGAACCACAGCCTTGTGAAAGCCAGGCAAGGGTTCTACCCACAGAGCCACAGTACAGCCCTTCAGTCTTCAGTATCTTCA